AATAGCAGGAGCTAAAGACATGAAGTAACTGACTTACATACTTTCATGGGTATTCTTACAGTTAAAATGATTGTTAATAGGGAAATTAATCTTGCATGTATGAAAGGGGCAATGGCTAGAAGAGCCAAGGGGTGGCATGTGATGTGGTGAATTATTTACTATGTCTCTGCTAGTCTTTGTGTTGTTGTTGTTGTTAGGTGCCATTGAGTCAAAACCGATTCACAGTGACCCTATGCAAAACAGAATGAAATATTGCCTGTCCTAGCCAAGCTCAGAATCTTTGGTATGTCTGAGCCCACCACTCCCGTCACTTGGCCAGTCCATCTTCCTCTTTTACTCCAACCGTCCACTTCACCAAACATGATCTCCTTCTTCAGTGAGTGGTCCTTCCTGATTGTATGTCTGAAGTACGGGAGACCAAGTTAGGCCATCCTGGCTTCTAAAGAACACTCTGGCTGTACTTCTTACAACACATATCTGTTGTTCTTTCGACAGTCCATGGTACTTTAAATTTTCTCCTCCAACACCATAACTCAAATGCATCAATTCTTCTACAGTCTTCTTTATTCACTGTCCAACTTTTGCATGCATATAAGGTTATTGAAAATACCATGGTTTGCGTCAGGTGCACTTTAGTTCTTAAACTGACGTCTGTGCTCTTGAACACTTTAAAGAGGTTTTGTGCAGCAGCTTTGCTAATGCAATGCATGGTTTGGTTTCTTGACTGCTGCTTCCATGATTGTTGATAGTTGATCTGAGCAAAATGAAGTCTGTGCCAACTTCAGTCTTTTCTCCATTGAGATGGATGTTGTTTATTGGTCCAGTGGTGAGGATTTTTGTTTTCTTCACATTGAGATGCAACCCATACCAAAGGCTGTGGTCTTTGATTTTCATCAGTAAGTATTTTAAATCCTCTTCACTTTCAGCAAGCAAGGTTATATCATCTGCGTATTGCAGGTTGTTAATGAGTCTTCCTCCAATCCTGATGCCACGTTTGTCTTCATATAGTCTAGCTTCTTGGATTGTTTGATCAGCATACAGACTGAATAAGTATGATGAAAGAATACAACCCTGTTGCACATCTTTCCTAATTTTAAACCGTTCGGTATTACCTTGTTCTAGTCTAACAAGTGCCTCTTAGTCTATGTATAGGTTCCTCATAAGAACAATTAAGTGTTCTGGAATACTCATACTTCACAATGTTGTCCATAGCTTGTCATCATTCACACAATCGAAAGCCTTTGCATAGTCAATAAAGCACAGATAAACATCTTTCTGGTATTGTCTGCTTAAAGCCAAGATCCATCTGATGTCACCCATGATATCTTTGTTAAATGTCCTCTTCTGAATCTGGCTTGGACCTCTGGAAATTCTCTATCAACGTATGGTTACAGTTGTTTTTGTATTACCTTTCATAAAACTTAACTTACCATAGAATATCAGTGATACTGTCTGCTGATTTCGGCATTCTTTGGGTCACCTCTCTTTGGAGTGGGCAAAAATACGGATCTCTTTGCAGTCAGTTAGCCAGATTTCTTGGCATGGAGGAGTGAGTGCCTCCTGTGCCCCATCAGTTTGTTGAAAGATCTTAATTAGTATTCCATCAATTCCCAATGCCTAGTTCTTTGCCAATACCTTTAATGCACCTTGAATTCTTCCTTCAGGATCATTGGCTCTTGATCACATGCTACCTCTTGAAATGGTTTTTGGTACAGTGTGTCTGTGTATATTCCTTTCCTTCTTTTTTATTTCTGATGCTTTCTGCATCTCAGTAATTTGCCCATAGAATCCTTTAATACTCCAAGTCGAAGTTTGAATTTTTTCTTCAGTTCCCTCAGCTTGAGAAATGCCGAGTGTGTTCTTCCTTTTGGTTTTCTAACTCCAGATCTTTGTACATTGTGTTAAAATATTTAACTTTGTCTTCTTCAGCTGATCTTTGAAATTTTTTTGTTCAGCTCTTGTACTCTACTCGGCATCTCTACTCTGGAGAGCAAGTTTCAGAGTCTCTTCTGACCTCCATTTTGGCCTTTTTGTTCTTTCTTGTCTCTTAATGACCTTTTGCTTTCTTTCTGTATGATGTTTTTGATGTCATCTAACAACTCTCTGGTCTTCAGTGTTTAATGCATCAAATCTGTTCTTAAGATGACCTCTAAATTCAGGTGGGATATAGTCAAGGTCATATTTGGGCTCTTATGAACTTGTTGTCTTTCCTTCAGCTTCAGCCTGAATGTGTATATGAGCAATTGATGATCTGTTCCACAGTTTGCCCATGGCCCTATTTTGGCTGAGGATATGGATCTTTTCCATCGTCTCTTTCCACAGATGTAGTCAATTTGATTTCTGTATATTCCATCTGGTGAGGTCCATTTGTATAGTTGTCTTTTGTGCTGTTAAAAAAAGGTATTTGTAATGAAGAATTTATTGGTCTTGCAACATTATATCATGCGATCTTCTGCATCATTTCTAACAACAAGGCAATATTTTCCAACCACGGAGTGTTTCTCTTTGTTTTCAACCTTTCCATGTTTGATCAATTTCAGACTCAAGAATTTGGTAGAATTCTTCAATTCTATCATCACGGGCTTTAGAGGTTGAAGTGTAAATTTGAATAATAGTGATATTAACTGGTCTTCCTTGTAGGCATATGGATATTATCCTATCACAGACAGCATTGTACTTCATGACAGATCTCGATATGTTCTTTTTCATGAATGTGGTGCCATGCCTTTTCAATTTGTCATTCCTGGCATAGGAAGCCATGTGATTGTCAGATTCAAAATGGCCAACACCAGTCCATTTCAGCTCGCTAATGCCTAGGGTATCTATGTTTATGCATTCCATTTCATTTTTGACAGTTTCCAATTTTCTTAGCTTCATATGTCGTACATTCCATGTTTTGATTTTTAATGGATTTTTACATCTGTTTTTCTGCATTTTGAGTTGTGCCACATCAGCATATGAAGGTCCCAACGGTTTTACTCCATCCATGTCAATCATGGTCAACTCTACTATGAGGAGGCAGCTTTTCCCCAGTTGCATTTTGAGTGTCTTCCAACTTGAAAGGCTCATGTTGTGGCACTATATCTGACAGTATTCTGTGTGCTTCATGTTTCAATGTTCAATATTCTGGTGCTATCTGACAGTGTTCCACTGCTATTCATAAGGTTTTCAATGACTAAATATTCAGAAGTAGTCTGTCTCTCCTCCTCCTTGTCTATCTTCTTCTGGAAGCTCAGCTGAAACCTGTCCACTGTGGGTGACCCTGCTGGTATTTAAAATACCATTGGCATATCTTCCAGAATCACAGCAACACACAAGCCACCACAATACGAGAAACTGATAGAGGAGTGTTAGCTTGTCTTTGTAACTGCTATCAACTGACTCTTTTCCTGAGGTGTATTTCTGAGCGAGAGAAGATGGGGAAAAGATATTGGTAGGGTAATGAGATTCAGTTGTGTTTATTATCAAAGTTAATTTTTATTGTAAAAACTTGGAACTCAATCTTGGGTTAAAAATGAACCATCTCCAAAGCAAGAAAGGAAATTTTGCTACCATCAAGGGTGAAGAAATTCTAGAATTGCTGTGTGTCCTTCAAGAAAATATATCAAGATTACCTCTTTGGAATTGCAAAAATGATTACTTTAACCCTATGAGTTGATCTTTCTGCTTTGAAGTGCACTGGCCCCTCAGATCCCCTTAGAAGCCACACTGTTCTGCTTGTATCTTTTTGACGGCATCCTAACAAGACTAAGATAAATATATGACTGTGAGAACTTGTTTGTAGTCATCCACTGGTCACAGAGACTTGTTGAGGTATGTTTTGTTTGGAGTAAGTCATGCATGTAAGAATTGGAATCCTAGTAGCAATACTTTTGGACTAACCTTTGTATTTGTTCACTAGCCTTGCTGTAGTTTAAGGTGTCTCTAAGTGATGTGATAAGTTAATGCTGAAAGTTTGGTGGTTGAAATCCAAACAAATGCTTCTGATAAGAAAGACCTGGCCATGTAATTCTGAAACCCAGCCTTTGAAAACCCAGTGAAGCAGTTTTTCCTATGACACACAAGGGATCATCACGAGTCAGACTCAACACAACACCAACTGGCTCTTACTGTTTTTTGTTCTATTCTAGTTCTGGGATTGGAGTCGTGAACAGGGTCAAAAGAACAACCCAATACTCCAGTGTGTTTCAAAGCTTTACACTTCAAAACTGTTCTGAATGGGAAAAAAAATTATTAGAAACATCATGGAACAGTTGTCAGAAGTTCCAGATACTGCATAAAATGTGAAAAAGAAATGATTAGTGTGTGGGTATTGTGTAAAAATAGTATTGTCATTAAGATGGAGGTTTACTTAAGTAAAAATATAATGTCTATTCTGGAGAGTTGGTCAGCTGTCCAGGTAGAACAAACTACTGCAAAATAGTAATGCCATGCTCAATGTTTCCAGAAAATGGAAGGCTTCGTGTACTTGATACCATGTAAACATTCTAAACCATACATTTTGGAATAAGATAATGATGCAAGCAATATAATTTCTTATATTGCTCTGTCCATGGCAATGTTATTATCTTACTGCCTTTAAAATTGAATTCCAAGAGCAAATATTCCTACTTTGGGAATTGGACATACTGTGTTTTTACTTACTCAACAAGATCAGTCAGGCGTTACTGTGCCTTGAGTTCCACAGAGCATTCAAGAGTCAGATACTCATGGCTCTGCTTTGAACGTACTGAGGATGCTCCCTGGGAAGACCACTGAATTAGGAGTCAGGAATCCATGCTCTCATCTGAGCTCTGCCTTTTATAACTGGCTAAGCTCATTCCTATCACTAGGCCTCAGTTCTCAAATCTTTAAAAATAACAAAATAAATGTTTTCATGCTGTTTCTACAAGTTCCCTTATATCTCAGACATTCTCTGATGGCCCATTATTTTAACCCTTGACATGCTCTTGTCTTACTTAAGAAGCACATATGCCCCAGTCATACCATGCCTTCCTTACCTTTAATAGAAGCCAGTTGTTTGGATATTGAAATGCTGCCAATAAAATTAACAAAACATGAGTTTGAGTATTTGTAGCATGATCCACAATAAAGAAATACCATGATTTTAAAATTCACTTATATATTTTAATTTTTAATTTTAAAGAATGTTATTGCATTGAAGGTGAAAGTTTCCACAGCAAATTACACTACCATTTAATAATTTCTTCACAAATTATCCAGTGATACTAGTTACATTTTCCACAGTGTTCCATATTTCTCATTCATTCCATTCTGGAAATTTTATTAGTTCCATTACTCTACTTTTCCTATTCCTACTTCAGCTTCACTGGGCCAGGATTCTCCGTGCTTTAGTTGATGCAATGTAGTTATCATTTCTACGATGAGATTTAATATGATGTAATTAACCCCATGATATGATATGATGTAATTATCCTATGTAGTCTAAGTCTTCACTTCTATGATGTTAATGAAGTCAGTTGTAATTAATCTACAGGATTAAGTTATATAGGGAGTCAATCTCTTTTGAGATATAGAAGGAGAGAGAAGTGAACACAGAGAGAGGGACCTATTATCACTAAGAAAGAAGAGCCAGGACAAGAGTGATTGATGCCAACACACAGGGAGATCTCCAAGGAACACTGGGTCTACAGATGCTAAAAAGAGACAAGGTCCTTTCACCACGGCTGTGAGTTTGGGCTTCTAGCCTCCAAAACGGTGAGGGAATAAATACTTGTGCTGTGTCTGCAAGAATATCACTAGATAATTAAAACATTTACTCTTATCTTTTTTTAGGGTCACTTCTGATTGTTTGACCTCACGTAGATGATTTTTCTAAAAAGACTTCATTATTATAGGTGATATGCTTTATTTTATGTAACAATCTATTATAGAATTAACTTATTTTATATTAAGTATATCGTCATTAAGTACTGTAATAGAGCAACCAGCTGTGTGTCCAATTCCTTTCTCCTCTTGTCACATGATAAAGATATGTTTGGCCAAAGGCTGTCCTGCTAATCCACATATCACAGTCTTCTTTGAAGTTATGTGGCCATGTGACTAAAATCCCTCCAATGGAATGGGAATAGACAGGAAGTGAATATCTTCCATGTAAGCACCTCCATGTTCCTTCTCATTTTCAGTTAGAAAATACCACAAATATTTTGAAAAGCACATATTGAAGAGGACATGGCCTCCCTCAGGCTGGTCCCTACCTGGCTGCCTGGAACAGAGTTGCCACAGACCTGGAACCCTCAGTCTTGGCTGTCACATGGGAAATTAAAATCTAACCTCTTGTTCAATAGCACACTGAGATTTTGAAAGCTATTTGTTCCAGCACCTTAGTCTAGTTGACTGAAAGTGTAGGTACCATGCTGGTAGGTGAGGATGCATTCATGAATGATCTTTGTCCTCGAAGGGCCTAGAGCATGGGGCATAGAATACATATGAAACAAATATGGAGAACAGAAACGGATAAACCCAATCTTCGAACCATGGTAATGACAGCTTACTTGAGTATAATGAATCAGTAGGTATTAGGCAGGTAAAGAAAGGAAGAGTATTCCTAGCAGAAGAAAGTGTGTGCTGAGGCACTGAGGTGGGAGGAAAGCAAGATAGGACTGAAGAACCAAAGGAAGCACAGTGTGGCTGGAATCTGACGAATGTAGAAAGAGTACTGGCATGAGGTGTAAGTTAAAGGCCAGGGCCAAGCAAGCTGAGCCTCTGAGACCTTAAGAAAAACTCAGTTTGCTATTTGAAAGGCATTTGGGAAGTAAATGAATGACAAAATCAAATGTGGAATTTGAAAAATCATTTCACCTTTGTAAGAAGTCTATTGGAAAGGGGCCAAATTTGATAGAGGCAGGGTGGTTTTGTGAAAGTCAATAAAAGTAAGAACTTGATCACACAGTGGTCAATTCCTTAAAAATAACTTTTAATTTCAAGAACTAAACAGTCTGAGAGATCAACTCCCTTAAAGGGCCTCTTTTTTTTTTTTTTTTTAATCTGTAAAATTAGGAAGTTGGACTATGGTCTCATGGACACCTTATTGTCTTCCTGGTGAACTCATCTTTATCTGCTAAAATTCTACACTATTTTCATTTCCTTCGCAGAGTGAGTTGCTCTGCCACTGTGCCCCATTTTCGTTGTACACAATGTGCACTTGGAACTTGGCACGTGGGATTCTACATTTCCATGGTCTCTTTCACTAGTCCGGGAGGCCCTGAAAAGCAAAGGCTATGGTATCTGTTGAGTCAGTCCTGACTCAGCGATCATGTAGAGGGTTTCTGAAGAGAAACTGGTGGATTTGAACTGCTGACCTTGCATTTCAAACTGACCTTTTGGTCCAGTGCTTACCCTACAGTGTCACACCAGGACTCTTTAATCTTGTTAGTTGTGCAAAACAGTGTTTTCTGAACTAACATTGTTAAGTGCCATTGAGTCTGTTCCCATTCTGTATAGGGCCTCTGAGGAGTGGTTGGTGGGTTTGAACTGACAATACTATGGTTGGCAGTCCAGTACTCATACTCTAGTATCATACTAGGACTCCCCAAACTAAAGTAAGTCCCCTAAATAGAATTATATGAGAAAGAAAAATTTTCATTTACTAGATCTAATTTTATACATTTTAATGATAGAAAGTAATTTCTTTCTGTTGTAGATAATTTGAGAAAATATTTATACAGTTAAAATCACTATCAATTTTCACTAATAAATATTTCTTAAGAGCCAAACAAAGATATTTGAGCTAAGCACATCATTCCTTCAGTACACAAAGTCAAGCAAGGTATTTCTTTTTTTCTTTTAAAGGGAACTTTAATTCAATTTAAAGCTGGATTAGGGTAGGTAATAGGCACCGCACTTGTAATATCTTGGCACTCTAGCTGTTGACACAAACTCTTTGGAAATATAATTGCAAGTTAAGTGAAATTCAGCAAAGGAGAGTCAAGTGTCACTGACCTTTTGGGCATTTTCCTAGGTGCTATCGTGGATGTTGGGGCTGCAGAAGGACTGGGTTCCCCTTCCAAATGGAGCACTTGGTCTTGGGTGCTTTGTGTGCAGCCACACATCATCCAGTCCCCTGTTGTGTGTTGATGCTTCCTAAGCAACCGTTACTCTTGGCAGTCACTCCATGACAACGATACAATGGCACTTTTAGAAGGACTTTCCCTGTATTGCTGTAGGTAGACATTAAATCATTCATTCATTTAATAAATATTTGAGTGCCTATTGTAGGCTAGGCACCTGGTTTGTCAGGGAGCTTAGTGGGGATGATTGAGATTAGTCAAGTAATCACACAAAGATTTGCACCTGTGAACAGTACTATGAAAGGGGAATTCCTTGAGAATGAAATCAATTAGGAGGTCAGGGCGATATCTCTGGGGAAATGTTGCTTAAAGAGGAGTAGAAAGAAAGGGGAAAGAGAGTGCATTGTTGACAGGCAGAATACTTGTTTAAAAAAACCCCGTTTTCATCTAGTCCATTCTGACTCAGAGCAACCCAACATAGAACAGATAGAACTGCCCCATAGAAATTTCAAGGCTGTAGGAAGAGCCTTTGTCAACCCCCTGAGGATCTCTATTGGCACAATGGTTAACTGCTCAGCTGGTAACTGAAAGGTCAGCAGTGTTTCCAAAAGAGAAAGACCTGGCACTGTGCTCCCCAAAAGACTGTAGTCTAGAAAACCTTATGGGGCCGTTCTACTCTGTCACATGGGATCACTTTGAGTTGGAACCTACTCTGTGGCACTTAACAATCTAACAATCAAGACAAGAGGGAGGATAGTGACCAGGGGAAATGAAGGACTGCCAGTGTAACTGGATCAGAGAGGCTGTGAAACAATGCAGCCCAAACTGAGGTTGGAGAGATAACATGGCAGCTAGATCTCACAGAACTTGTAAACCATGATAGGGATTTTTACTGTATCTCAAAAGAGTGGAATACTCTATCTCAAAAAATGGGAAAACATTTGTGGGTTTTAAGCAAGGTTAATAGAATTCAATTTACATTTTGGAAAGCTAAAACTTCAATGTGGGTATTGTTTTGGAGTGATGATCTAAGTAACTGCATGAAAAGCGATGTTTATTTCACTCGTTAGTATAGAGTTCTTTTTGTAAAACTGGAGGATGTGAGAACCATGGTGCAAATCTCTGCCAACAATAAGACAGAATACCGGATGAAGCAGTTTCAGGGGACGGTCCCAGAACTACATAAAAAGGAATACTTAGAAAATCGAAGGCTTATTGCTAGTGGGATTTGTAGCAGAAGCAAGAAAGGTAGTGGTTTCTGATCTGTGGCTGCTAGCAGCATCTGGGGTGGCCATTTTGGGCATGACAGAACACGTGAAGGATCAGAGGAGCACTTCCACTGCAGAGATCTCACTGATCCTCAGAAATAAAGGTCTAAACATTTTTTTTTCCCTCTGTTCATTGGCCTCTTGCTCTCTGTCACCTCCACTGGGTGGGGTGCCTGAGTGAGGTCACCCCCACCCCCAGAGGCTTTAACTATAAATGTACACAAATTTGCTCAGCAATCTAAGAAGGGGGAGGAGCCAACTGATTTAAATGGTATGGCCTCCCAGAGTGGCTGGAGCTGGTTCCAACCTCTTTCTCACTTGGAGAAACTCATGAACGGGGTTCTGGGGTGGGAAAGAGACAGACTGAAAAAGGAAACAGGCCAAAAATTAAATCCTGAGTTATGTCATAAGAAGCAACAGTAGCATCTTGAAAATTTTCAGGCAGCCTTGAAGGCAAGATTCCAAGAGAAGGGCATTAAAGTCATATTCATATTTTGCTACAGGCTTTTTTTTTTTTTAATGTGTGTGTGACTAAAGAATGTAGTATCCAATCAGTTTTTTTGCTGTTGTTGTTTTGGTTTTTGGTCCCCCTTTTATTTTTGGGGACCTCTTTCTCTCCCAACATTATCTCCCAACAACAATTATGGTTATATAGCCAAGCTATAATCACACCCTATAAAATTCAACCATCCAGGCAGGAGCCAACACCAGCTGATATACACCAGATAGACAGTCAACACCTGCTACAGTTACCCTGAGTTGAATAATAAAAGTGAAAAGGGAAGCCCATCTTCTGATCACATCTATCTGGAGGCAATCAGAAAACTTAATAATACATCACCACGCAGTCATGTGATTATTGAAAACACATCTAATTATTTAAAATGTCCAAGAAACAGAAGTTATTGGCACATGTCCATAAACAAAATAGAGTTACTGAGACAAATGAGCTGGAGGTAGACGTAGACTTCCCACTGGAATGAGGGCAGACTTAGGAACTTCTGGAAAAGGAATGGAGAATAATATTAAGGTGAATCCAAATGCTCCACAGAGGTGTTGGGAAAAATAAGAAGTCAGGAAAGTGCTACAGGAACAAGCAAATAATATAGAGATAGCATTGGAAATAATTCAAAACCTGCAAAAAAGAGGTCCAAATGACAATACAGAAATGGACAATA